CGATTTTAGACATTTTTTTTTAACGAATATTTATAATCTATCTTGTTTATTAAATTGGACATTAAGGATGTATTGGGATGTTGAACTGGCGCCAGCTATAATCGACCGGGTGGTCTCTTACGTATTCCATCCCGGAAAGGTTGTCCCTTCCTCATCGGGAGCCTTAATGGTATTGTGTCCCTTTGCTGTCACACAATTACTCAACTCTTCTAATTAATTTCTCATGAATATTCCCCCCTCTCACCAATAATTATTGGCAAACCCATCAACACCAAATCCTTTATCACAATATAGGGGAGGGGAGAAAAAATAGTATGGCTTACAAAATCATCCTGTTCCCACCGATACTAGAATGGTGTTATAAAAAAATCTTTTCAACCCGAAGTAACGTAGAGGAAGCATTATGACAAAGGTCTGAATAACTGCTTTGCAATCTGACCTCAAGGACGATTATACTGTCGTGTACGCGGAACATTCTACTATATCATGTCACTGGTATTTTACTTGTTATATTCCTGGTAAATGAGTGCGCAAACGGATCTACGCGAAGCCACATCCAAAATGGTATAATTTAACCATTTCATATAAAAAAGATTTTAAAATTTATCTCTGAAAGTATTATTTTTTTGTAGTTTCATTAAATAGGACTGCAAGAATCACTTAAACACCATTTCTTATAGGCAGTTAGGCACTTCTTCCAAAGTCATAGTTGTTATATATAGAAAAAAAAAAAGCTTTCGGGCTGAAGCCTTCCTCCTCTCCCTCCCCCCCCCAAAAAAAAATTAAATTCTGGATCCGCTAGTGAATGAGTGTTATTATCAAAAACTACTAAAATATATAAACTAAAATTATAGGGAAAATTATATCTTGTTCATCCTTACCAATTCTTGATGACTTCCTTTCTGATCCCTGTCGTTTTAATTCTTCTGTTTGCGAAGATCCTACATCGTGTTTATTTCTGTATGGCGAGAGGGTACGTTGCTTGTACTAAAGTGTGATGTAGATAGGATTCGGATAAGTGTGCTAAAATGTTAAATTTAATTCTTTATGAGAATTAAATAATTTTATATGGAAGAAATATTTTCTTTTGAGCATGAGGGAATGAAAGTGCTTCAGACACCAATCACTCGACTTGGTTGTGCTAGTTCATGGAATCATACTTCTTATTTTTAACTGTTAATATGTCTTGTTATAAGAAATTTGAAATTAGTTTGATTTGTTAACTGTATCTGAATGTTTTGGTTAGTCATTTTGTAATATTCATACATCGAGCGTTGAAGATGACTTAAAATATAACATTTCCAAGTCAAATTCGACGATTTTTTTCTAACCAAAATCAACTATTTCCATTTCGGATTCAACTCTATCTCTATTTATTATAACTCTGTTTATTTTAAATTTTTAGAATTCTTAATTTAAGGGACAATGATTGTGTTATCGAGTGTGAAGTTCATTTAAATTCTGGCAATGATTTTGTGGTCTGGAATAGATTTATGTTAACTTAATCGAATAATGTATTGTAATGTAAAATTAATCGAAAAGTTAAATTTGGTTTTGTCCTGAAAAAACTGCCCACGACTTGATTACACTATTCGAAAATAGTTTAACTGTCTGCTCCGTTCCAACTTTCCCAATTTGCAATACCCTTACATTCCATATCTAATTGGTTAGTTGTATGCACTTTAGTTTGCCTTAACTCTGGCTAGTGAAGACATCTAGTTTATTGCTCGCAGGGACACAATGGAGTAGCAAATTCCGCCTCAACATATACGAGCCTATTGTTACGGAGTCGTGAAGACACATCGCTAGAAGTAGGTTTAGGCTGTTTGCTAGGTCTCTGTTATGGTGGCGTGAGTCACGCCCGTTCCATCTAGCCGCAAGGTGTCGGAATGGGGTAAACTTTGAATAAGCGTAATCGACCGCAGGATCGGTGAGCGTCCTTCAGCGACCACCGAGGTCTTGGGATGGAAGTGGATGGCAGGCCGCTACTAATGGTAAGAAAGAGGGAGCACCAATCAAAGGCGGAAACGGCTTCCGGCTTAGAGTGGCTCAAATACCGACTTCCGCTGCCCCCCACCCCCGCTTCCTCTCGCCCCTTTCCACTGCCTCCTCAATGTCAATAAGGAAATCGTCATTAACTCCTTTTTATGAGGGCAATATGGGTAATCCGAATTCATTGTGGAATTCTTAGGTGTCAATTGAGGCAGCTCTCTTTGAAGAAACTTTATTTGCTGTGAACTGTTAAGCATTCACGCAATGCGTAAAGGTTTGAAAAATTTTGTTGACTTTCTTATAACAATAAAATGGACGAAGAAGATAATATTATAGCTATCCTCTTTAAAAATATATATCATTTCTATTAATATTAACTCAAAAATAATTTGAAATATTCGAATTCGAACTATTTTCGCCGTTACAACTTAAGAAGAGGTACTATGAGGATGAGTGGGACCGGTCGAAGATCGAATCAGAGGATTATGATTAATTGAAAGATTGTGATAAAAGATTTGAGATACGACAGACATAAAAGAGAGATTCTTTATACTTAAGAAATTGTCAGATGATTTGCAAAGATGAAATAGATAAAAAAAATTTACGTTTGGTTAGTACATGTAAAATTTAAAAATTCTTTTTAAATTACTAAATTAGTGCTGGTCTACAATGTTACCATTGCGCTGAATTACTCATTATTCCCTTCATCTATCTAATGATATTTTATATTCTAGAGTTAGTTACCAAGTATAAGTCATGCATTTAAAGAAAATAAATACAGTCCTTCGATACATTGTGTTATTGCCTTGTATGTAACTCAGTTTTATATTAAATGCTCGTACGATTTCGTTCTAAAAAGTTTCTCTTTTTCTTGTTTCAGGTATAAACATGGAAGGAATGGTTATTGGGTGATTTGAGGAAGATAACCTTACGTAAGTTGAATGTAACTTCTATAACATTTTTGCTGTAATTTTTTTTTACATAAGAAAGCATTACAATTTTCTTTTTCTTTTTTTTTTTTTTTTTTTTTTTTCTTAAATCAGTAAGGACCGCTGTTAAAATTTCTAGTTTGAAACGCTTTTGCTGCTGTCGGGCATTTTAGTGTTCATCTAGTATGAAACGATATTTATTATTATTTTTTTTCCATAACCGCTGTAAAGAAACCTCTGTTATGTCCAAGATTTTTTTTTAATTTATTTTTAAAACTGGCATCCAAATCAGTCGGCAACAGTTCAACTACTAATTATGTGAGATGTGCCTAAAACTATTAGTCTCTGTTCGCAGCGTCTCCTTCGTATCGTTTTCCATATGTGGAAATATGTATTTTACGATATGTAGCGAAGGAGTCTTCTATGCAATTGTCTTATTATATAAAATAATAATAATGAAATAATATAATATGTGTACTTAATATGCGAGAAATATTTTCTATGGAACATATTGTAATAAATCGGTTATACTCATACATTATGAATAATTACTCATGAACGAATATTTACTTAATTATCCATTGAAGTAAAGAATATTTCATTACTAAAAGTTGGTTTATTTAAAATAAAATTTGTTGATATAGTTTTTTGTCGCGTTTAATACGAGAACTGCTCATGTAATTGTTACTTGAAAATCTTACAACAATGGGTACATATTTACGTAAAAGTCGTGGTGTCAAACTTTTGTAACCTTTCTGCAGTGTATTAGATTGGTATGAGTTCGGTCATGTTGAGTTATGTATTATTTTAAAAAGGGGTGAGGTTTGTTTGTTCCTGTTTTGTTTTTTTCAGATAGTAGGTACTTATTAATAAAATTAAATATATTCTTTAAATGTTCAATTTTTTTTTATTTCCTTTGTTAAAATTTCGATACGCTATGAAATTCTGAAAATGTCGCTTCAACACTAAGGTTTAAGTGTTTTTTTTTAAACTCTTTTTTTCATTCCCTAATGTTATTTACATATATTACAAAACTTTTAACAACCAATGAAGCTTATCGTGTGTTTTGAAGATGTGGTTATATGTCGCATATATAATAATGCTCATAGCATATAGATCGTTATTTATTATTGCTAAAGGTGCATGAAAAGAAATTTCATAAAATTTTATGTCTTACTCCAGTAACGGATCCAGGATTGAATTTTGGAGGGGGAGCAGACTTTGAGACCGAAGTCCCCTCCTCCCCATAGATCGAACCCTGTTGTGCCCTTATCATGTATATTGTCCATCGGCTTTTTATGTACTTATCGTTTATCAGTTACTTTCATACTTACTAAGAAGTGTTGAGAAAAATAGCCCCTCATCTCTAGGCTTTCAGGAAGTCCTTACACAAGAAATCATGCAATTTGCTTTCTAGATTTGGGATTTCTTTTAAAATGAGGGTATGGAATATTCGGTTGACCTGCGCAGGCTCTCAAGCATTGGATGCTAATTAGTAGACTAGCCCGATGCACACCATGGGATGTGTATCCTTTCCCATGGAATCCTGGAACTCTCTTATCCAATGGGTTATGTATGTGTATGTGTTACTTAATTTATGTTAGTTCATAACCTATTACGGTATTGCTTAGCACTCACTGGTCTTTAGGCTCGAATATTAATCCGTTTTTTTCTACGCTTGTTACAAGTTATTCACTTGTTCTTTTTAATATGATTCAATACATATTGCTAAAATACCACTTTTAAGGTACTAACGAAAATATTGATACATTCATATATTTTGCATCTGAAATATATTTTTCGCTCAACTAGGTAAGTGAAATAATTTTATTTCTAAAATCTTTAAAACAGTTGAATTATTATGTTAACCGCGATTCATAAAAAAGTCAGTTTAATTGCATCAATTTTCAAGTATGACATCATTACAACACATAGACTTTGAAATGTTAATCCCTATTTATAATTGTTTTATCCAATTATAAATAGAGATTAACTAACTTCAGTGTATATATATATATATATACTAATGTCCTCTCTTTGAGGGATATTACGAATTCCTCAACTCCACGCTGTGAGCAAATGAACCAGAACCAAAAGACCCGGTCCTCAATCCTGAGGCTGACATTTGCTGAAATGTTAAAAGAACAAGAGCCTTTATGTAAAATGGAATTTCATTTTCTGCTGGAGAGAACGCTTTGCCAAGAGAGGCGAGGCATCGGATCCCAACCAGCGTCTCTTTACGTAAGGGTTTTGTAACGCGTTATATAGCCACCGACCAAACCACCGGTTACACTGACATCCCCCGCCGATTGGGCAGCTAAAAAATTATTGTAATGGTCTGTTCCATGTTAAATAAGTACTTAACAGCGGGTGGGGAGGGTAATTTGATACTTTTCGGAGTATAACTCGCCAAGAGCGGTGTCAATTTGTGATCAACTCCGCCTATCATTAACCTCAACTACATAGAGCTCTGATTCATTCCATCAAAGCTTTTGTATGCACTTTTTTTTTTTTTTTTGCAATACAACAATAATCATTTGTAAAGTAATGGATGGTAAATAATTGCGGTCACACATACACATGTCATTATAATATTCCCTATTTAACTGTCATTTTACAGTCCATAATATCGTTAATGTGTTTACAAAAATACGAGCTAAACATTATCTTACCATAATGCAATATGTTCTCATGCATTGATTTAGGATAGTCAACCGCATATTGGTATATTTATGAGTTGTGGGAGGATTTCTCCTGAAGGTGAATATAGGCCCCAGTTTATAGCAGTTGGTTAAGAGCAAGGAGAGACGATTCCGCCGAGTCCTAGAGCAGTTTGTGGTCTGAACCCGCATCCTGTTACGACGACCGTTGCTGCTTCTTTGTCCCTCGGAAACGCTCCACGATGCTATTAACGATAGCCTCGTGGACCTCAGTACACAATGTATGCAAGATGGGTACACAATGTATGATCTTGAACACTCTTCAACTAGGTACACTCCAAATTACAATTTTCTGTCCAAGTGTTAGAGACTTTTCGGAGTATAACTCGCCAAGAGTGGTGTCAATTTGTGATCAACTCCGCCTATCATTAACCTCAACTGCATAGAGCTCTGATTCATTCCATCAAAGCTTTTGTATGCACTTTTTTTTTTTTTTTTTGCAATACAACAAAAAAAGAGACTCATGGAGGAATTTCCTTCATTTTATTTGGAAACATTTAAATTTAATTCTAAATAGAAACCCAGCATCTATAAAGTGTCCACCCTTTATTTGTGTAAAAACGTGGCGGTTAAGCGTGTCCCTGCCCATTTTCCCAAACCATTAGCACAACCTACCCCCTTACGTCTTGAATACAGGGCCCTTTACGAATACACGAGTTGCTGTGGTACTAGGCTTTAGGGTGATTTACACTTTCTCTAGACTTGCAGAAAATGACCTATAACATGTATTGGGCTGAGTAAACAAAGCAAGCGAGTTTTTTTTAATTGTAATGATTACTAGGACCTTGCATATCCTTGGATTCCAGTGTTTATTTATAACATCAACAATTTCCGTTATTTCATTATACTCAAATTAAAACAATATCTTAAAAAATAACTACACTGGTTTTATTTTCTTTACCTTATTTCTTCTATCGCCCCCAAAACTTTCAATTTGTAAACACATCTCAAGTAACCTAGGAAAACTGCATTATGATCCTTAAGTATTTTAAACATGTGTCGTTATTTTTATTTTTTTTTTTAAACTAGGATCTAGGTTTTATTTTTAATCTATGATATCAGATATATATTGTGTGTGTGTGAAAAGTATTTCTTTTTTTTTGTGCCATTATTAGAAATCCCTCGTGTACCTAGGGACAACCGAGGGACAGACTCCTTTTCTTTTCCGATAATACCAGGCTATTTTCTAAGGCCCCAGGTATGAAGTCTTTGTAAAGTTCTTTCGTAGAAGAACATTTTGGATAAAAGGCAAAACTACAACATCTTCAACAAAACTACAAGAGCTGAAAAAAGAATTTTGAGTTGTCATTTAAAGGAGAAAAGTTATTTTATGAGCAGAAAAATACAAAAAATAAATTGTGGGTGATAAATATTCAGGAAGCAGTCTTTTTAAAAAAATATTTTTTTTTATTTATGCCAACGTTTCAACCCAACCATTATGGGTCATCTTCAGGGCGTGGTTTGAGTACTCATTGTGTTCAAGTGAGTACTTGAACACCCTCAGTGCTCAAACCAAGCCCTGAAGATGACCCACATGTTTTGGTTGAAACGTTGGCATAAATAAAAAATTAATTTTTTTTTTTTTTTTAAAGAAAGACTTGCGTCCTGAATATTTATCACCCATGACATGAACTTCCTTCGAAAAATAAATTGGGTACAATGTACCTGAAGCATGTCTTTAAAACATGACAAAGATTTCGGTTATTGCATATCAATTACTAATAAAATATTAAGAGTGATAATTGAGAGGTAAAAAAAACTGTTTGTTTTTTATTTGGGAATTTTATATCTGTCTCGTGGAAAAATTAAGTTTTTATTCTATAGTGAATGGAATGTGCAATAATAATTTGTTAGATATTCTTTTATTATTGTACTAAGTGTTACTACTTTTCTGTTTCTGATAGTAGTTACTGTAACTCAAACTTCCTGCTGTATTTACTAGAATTCATGACAGTATTTTTGTTTTTTAATTCTCGTTTTCATAATGTTTAAAGTGTATTATAATTTTTAATTTGTTTTGAGCCACAAGGAAGTTTCTCGATGGTGGTAATAAAACAATCGCGCCGACAACCTTGTATACTGACGAAGAATTTTTTTTCCGGTTCCGCTTAGCAGTCTATCCCAAAAAAAAAAAAAGACAAAGAAACCCAAAATGACATCTATCTTATCTGGTTTACATAACAACTGGAGATAGGAAATAGGAAGCACCATTGGTGGGGATAGCAGCTCCTTGGTTCCTAACCGATTTTCCGTCAGTGATGGTCATTTTGTTTTAAAAGTATTTCCTAACCTTGGAAAAATTTAATAGGTATACTATAATATAAAAAACAACAATCAAAAAGCAACTTTATTCTAGAATAAAATTTCCACAAGATCAGCAAATTGGTACAAAAACAAAGATTATTACTGATCTTAAGATCTACTGAAGTTAATAATAATGTACTTAGTTAATATAAATATATAAAATACAGATAAATAATGGTGAAAAGATTAGACCCAATAACCAAAAAATCTTCAACAATATTATTCGTTAAATTATAAAAAAAAAATTAAGACAAATTTTCCTGATCTTGTGTTAAGAAAAAAATAGAAAAATATATTAGAGTACCTAATATATACTCAAAAAACGTAGATAGGAAATAAACAAAGCGAGGAGTGTATTCTAAATTAGTAAAACTGAATCAGAGACAAAAAAATAAATAAATGAAATTACTTTTTGAAATGAAATGTGGAGAGACTTTCGGACTAAACCCTTCCCCACAAAAAAAAAAAAGATAAAATATAACCATGTCTTATGAAAAAAATTATTTCTAAAAGTATTATTGTTCGTGTAATTACATTTAATAGGACTTCAAGAATCACTTAAACACCATTTTATAAAGGTTAGTTCCTTTCTTTTTGTTCCAAAGTAATTATCGTTATATGTATATAAAAAAAAAAAAATCTTTCGGGCTGAAGTCCTTCCCCCCCCCCCGAAAAAAAAATCATGGATTCGCCAGTGCAACTTTGTAAGACGTGATATGAAATGAGTCATTTATTTCTAAAGTGAACCAATTAAACAAAAAATAAATTAAGAAATTCTTTATTTTTAGTAAGTACTTTCGAAAATCTTTGATTATTTAAATAGGTTTTTTTTTTTGGATTCAACTTGTTTATTGAGAGATATTACATTCTGTCTCAATTAAGGACATTTATAGTAGAGATCAGAGAGCACATTCATACCATATTTACCGAAAACATAAATAAATTAATTAAGTGACAGCAATGAAATATATACAAATAAGAACAAAATAAAATAGCATAAAAAAATTGAAAAATAATATTGTATTATAAATATCTTAGACACAGGCATACTTTTAATAGAACCGATTAAAAAAAAAATTAAATATGGCCGGTTTTGGAACGAATTAAACTTCTAGGGTGTTGTATGATTCGGGAAGAAAAGAAAAGAAATAAACATATTTTTAATTTTCATTCGAATAAAATGATTTTATTTTTAATGCTTAAGAAATGCAAGTATCATTATATTCCTTGAAAAAAAAAAAAGACTGGTTTATAGAAATAAACTTATTTTCACACCACATTATTCAATATTTAGGTTCGTTTTTGAGAAAAAATAATTGTGCCAACGGTTTTGTTGGGTATTTTTTATATAATAAGCTATAATTTTCTTAATTTCCAAAAAATATCGGTTAGGATTCACTTTATTAATAAGCGATTCAAAAATGTGTTCATACTCATGATTTGAAAAAAAAAAATGAAGTAATAAAAACAAAGCCTTATATATGTAACAAGGTTCTTTGTAACAATACTTTGTTTTTATCAATGAATACGAGGAAATATCTCACATAATGTTAGTCTTGGTATATTATTTTCTTATTATAACTAGAACTTCTTCTATGCATTGTGAAAGATTTCAAGAGGTAGGGAATTCCAGAAAGTGGTGGAGCCGGCGATAAAGTGGAATAAAGGTCAGAGGTTGGAGATATAATTTAATTTCCAAATCATTCATTATCTTAGGGCCTTAATAATTAGCAACAATGTACTTGAACGTCATCTCTTGAGCGTTCCTTGCCCTGCCTTGCATATTCTCTCAGATAAGTTTTTTTCCTCAATATCAGCAATCAAATTCACTTTTGTAATCAATAACCTGTCAACTATCAATCGTAACATGGTGAAAAATTCGCGGAATTATCTCTAATCGGATTTTTTTATTTCAGCGATAGCAATGTTTATTGATATAAACTGTTTTTTGACTACTGAATATAGATATTTTTGTTTTTATTTCTCTTTTTAATTTATCTCCAATGAATCAGCCTCACTTAAAAGCAGTTTGATTGGAAAAGGAATCCATAAAATCGAAAATTCATGTGAATCCAAAATATGCGGAGAGATGCATTGGTTTGAAAAATCATATTTAAGTTCTTCTTCGCAATATTTTAGTTGTACTTTAAATGGCTCGAGGAAGGTTGTGTGCTCGGATGAAAATGAACTAAACAAGAATAGAAAAATAGTGGATCCTATTTAGTGGATCCCTCATCTTTTAGAACCTGTCCCCAAAAATCATCGCCATTACAATTCCTAAACAATTATGAAATCATTTTTATTTAAAGCCGTGGATTTTTCTATTATAATAGACTCCTTACAACTCCGCTTTTACTCTTGATTTTTCTTACAGATGAAGTGATGTAGTTTTCTGTTTTTCTTTCCTAAAAAAAAAAAAAGTCATCCTTCACAACTTACGGGGGGGGGGGGGGCACAAATAAATTTAAAATCGTTTGATAGAATCCAGTGTAGATGGAATATATATTCCTGAGAAAAGCGGACGACAAATCTGAAAGCTAAGGAGACAGAGGCTAGGAAGTGTGGAACCGGAAGAGGGAGCCGTTACGGAGCCGGAAGCAAGATGGCACAAGTGTTCCGTTAACCCCTTTCTTCCGATCTTGCTCTGTTCCAACCTTGCCACTTCCATCTTAATGATCCATCTATATTAAAAATTATCATGCAAGCCGGAGGACTATACATCCATTAGTTTTGATTGATTGAACACCTCTTCTAATGATCCTATTAATTTTTGTCAATCAGTCCTAGGATTAGCTACTAGTTTAAAACAAAAAATAAATAAAATAACTATGACTTAACCTGAGTTGGTTTCCGATGGTTTCTTTCGGTTATTTAAAGTTCTTAAAATA